CTTGGGTTTAGACATTTTTGATCTTTTGACCTTGGAGTTTGACCTACTTTTGAAAAAAAAAAAGTAAATTTGGCCAAAATTTTGAAATGGTTGAAGATAGGGCTTTCTTACTATACAGGTGTATTTCTTGTGTCAAGATCTTCCTATGGGTACAAATAATTTTGACCCTTTGGCCTTAAAGTTGACCTCAGTTGATTGAAAACCTTTTACCTTGACCATAACTTTTGAACTTTTTGTACTAGGGCTTTCATATTTCACAGGTGTATTCCTTCTGACAAGATTTTCCCTTAGGTACCAACAATTTTTACCTTTTGACCTTGACCTTTGAGTTTGACCAACTGTTGAAGGACTTTTACCTAGACGATAAATTTTGAACGGTAGATGCTATGGCTTTTATATTTCACAGATGTATATCTTGTGAAAAGGCCTTACCTTGTGTTTCAAACTTTTTACCCTTTGACCTTGACCTTTGAGTTTGACCTACTTTTAGAAAACTTTAACCTTGCTATAATTTTTGCACGATTAATGCTCTGGCTTTCATATTTTACAGGTGCATTCCTTGTGACAAGTCCTTTCCTTGGGTACCAATAATTTTGACCCTTTGACCTCGACTTTGAGAATGACCTATTTTTTGAAAAACTTTAAGCTTGGTCATAACTTCTGAACACTTGGTACTAGGGCTTTCTTATTTAATATGTACATTCCATGTGACAAGCCATCCTTGATCATTAATTTTGTCCCTTTGTCCTTGGAATTTGGCCTACTTTTGAAAGACCTTAACCCTGGCCATAACTTTTGAACAGCTGGTGTTAAGACTTTCATATTTCACAGGTGTATCCCTTGTGACAAGATCTTTCCTTGGGTACCACAATTTTTTTACCTTTTGATCTTGACTATGGTGCTTGACCTGCTTTTGAAAAATTTTATCCTTGGCCATAACTTTTGAATAGTTGGTGCTAGGGCTTTCATGTTATACAGATGTAGTTCTTATGACAAGACCTTGCCTTTGAACCTATCAATTATGACCCTATGACCTTGACCATAGTTTTGACCTAATTTGAAAAACTTTAACTTTGACCATAACTTTTGAACAGTTGGTGCTAGGGCTTTCAAATTTCAGATGTGTATTTCTTATAACATGTCCTTTCTTTGGGTACCAATATTTTTTTTATCGCTTGACATTGACATTGGAGTTCGACTTACACTTGAGAAACATTAACCTTCGCCATGACTTGCTATACGGGGGCATCAGTGTTTCACAATTTTTTTTTTTTTTTTTTTTTTTGGAAATGGGAGATTCTCCTTGCTGTTTTGTTGTTACTAGTTTGACGAATTTTAAAATATTATATCTATATTACAATTACAAGTGTGGTCAATATTTTGAAACATAGACATATCCAGGACAATTAAACATATAACATTATATAAAATATTACGTATTCTATTCAGGACAAAGTCTTTGACAACAAAAGTGATCATAAGGACACTCATCAGTGGCAAAAGCAGCTTCTTAGGAGAATAATATACTAGACAAATTGAGAGTACATATAACCTCAGTCACGCCACCTAATTTCCTTTATTAATTCATCCCCCGTACTCTTACAAGATCCTTGAATGATCAAAGTTGCAATTCTGGCGCACAGACCAATGATTTATGAAAAAATGACAGGGTCAGGGATTACGGTGACAGAATAATCAAATGGCCTCATAAAAAGGCGTTCATTGTCCAGGGTCTGGGCATACATTTTAAAATCTCAAGTGAATGGTGACCATGATGTCCGAGTGTGAAAGACATTAATATTCAACGAAATTTCTGACCTATATTTTTCGACCAGATGTGTATTAAGGTCAAAGTGTCAAGTAAGGTGCATGGCATCGATCTAACACCTTTCACCTTGTCATTTCTGAGGTTTTGTCATGCAGTTCTGTATTTCTTTTTTTTTTTCATTTTCGGTTGTTTTGCAGGCAATCAACTCTACATTTCTACTGTATTGTATAGGGTTAAATATGATGTGAACATGTAGATAATATGTAAATGTATAGATTACAGATGGCATCCTGGAAAAAATATCAAAAGTAGACGTTAAACTAATTCGATAAGTACATCAAATTTCTACGTGTTGTGTAATACGCTCATTCTTTTTTTCTTTCAGCGTAAAATGTCCCTTAATGATATAGGATAATAAAATTGCAACAGAATTTTTTTTTTAAATTGTACAAGCTTTGTTATTGCTATGAAAAACATTTTTCAAGATTCTTTGGGGGGGGGGGGGCCTTCTTGCACTCTCTCCAAAATATACATTTTCGTGTCTATATATATTGCAATTCAGTGCCACAACCATGAAAAAAATGAAAGCCACCAAAACTATCAATATATTTCATGTTTTTTTTATGATTGACTTACATTGTTTTGTGATCACATAATAGGAAAAAACAGTGCGTATTCACAGACAAAGTATGACTTCATCCTATGCTTCAAATATATTATAATGAGGATGTCTTTAAAGGAAACCTTCGACGTGAAAAATATTTTTTTAGCGATAAAAAAGCTTGTACAAACTGTTTTACTTTTAATTTTTTTTTTTTTTTATACACATTTCTCCCCTCTTTTGAGTATCTTATGTCCTTAAGTTCAATTTTTAAAATAGCAATCTGCTTTCGATATTCTGACTAAAATCCAAATTTCAGTTTCCTTCAGCGAATTGATCGAAAACAAATCAATAAAAAGTCGATCTGTTAAGGCACATTTGGGAGATAAATCAAGGTATAATGTTGTTTGGGCATTCATTTACAAAGACAAATGATCAAACAGTGTGTATTTGATTGTTCGGAACAAGAACGATCGTTGTTTTCCGGCTTGTAAATTACAATTTGCAATCAACAAGTGTAAAATGCACGTTTTGCTCTTTTTTCTTGATCATACGTAAGAAAATAAATTTCTTTCAATTTCCCTATTAACTTTTCACATTTTTGTCGGTATGTCCCTAACAGAAATCAAATAAATATATTCAAGAAATGTTGATCAATGCAGTATACTGTGTGAAGATATATATGCACAAATTTGTTCGTTTAAATTCTCTTTCATGAAATGGTGAAAGCTGACACGGACGGAAATCTTACAACCAGAATTCTATATATACATGTACTTAGAAAGGAAAAAATAATGGTATGATCTGCATACTCTGGTTTTAGGATGGAACTTCGTCAGAATTTTAGCAAAATAAGGAGACCTAAATATAGTCTGTTCCTGAGTACTATATGTTCAAAAAGCACTGTAACACTAAACCACTGTAATGTAACACTATCCTTTTCTTTAATTGAAACGATTGTATCAATTGCAATAAAAGATGATGATGTTGATCTTATATAAAAACAGGAACTTTAATTTTTGTCTAATTGCTGCCGGAACGAAATGTCACTACATTCTTAGCTATTGAAAAATAAAAGTTACATTCTTTTAATCCTGTAGAATTTCTTTAATCAGCAATAAATTAATTTCAAATTCATTTTAAGTTAGAAATAAAAAGGTTACAACAGAGGGTACACTGTAGTTTTTTTTCTTTAAATTCATCTCAATTTATCTCTTAATTTCGAGTAAGCCAATTCTTATGTCCAACCCATGTATTAATTCAAGATGGAAAATAAAATAATTTATGATTTAAGTACCTTCTAAAATGCTTAATAGGTACCCTTACTTTCTGTCGAATATTCATATAAACAGTTCCTTATGTAGTTACTTATGTATAAATATGCAGAGGAAAGGTTAGGTTTAATAATTCAACATAACAATCTCAATTCGTTTGTTTGTTTAACGTCCCTTCGAGAATTTTTCACTCATATTGTGACACCACCACTTGCCAGCAGAGGGCTTCCAATTCAGACCTTTGAGCAGTGAGAGATCTTTTTCGACCAGACGCGGACACAGGACCTCGGTTTATACGGTCGCATCCGAAGGACCGTTCTCTGCGTCACACAGTGGATTCGAACCCGCGACGTAAGGATCAATTCCTTACTCCGGCCGCGACTCTAGAGCACACACTCTTACCGATGCGCCAATCTCAACATTAGGTATTTTTCATAGAAATTATTAAGAAATATTTTCAAAAGATTGTTTCTAGGCCTATTGAAAAAGAATGAGTTTATTTTCTTTGAACCGATTAAAGTGTTCTGTACCTAATATGTATATTTTTAGGTTCTTCTGTGACAACAGCGGAAATATAAATATGGTGACCTTAAATTGACCTTGACCAAAAAATCTAAGTAAATGAAATAAACTTTTATTTTAAAATCCATGTTTCACATAACTTACTGTACCTGATGACAATGTTGTTTGAATACTACAAGAAACATGACCTACTTGTGGTAAGACCATTCTTAAAATGAAATAATATTGATTCTATTTTTCATCATGATGTTCTTCATTCAATTCCTGCGATCAAATACATATATATAACTTAAATTGTTAATATACATTAATTACATAATTTGTTAGTACTTCTGATCAAAGCATTAGCTAGGATTTATTACCTTTAAATTCAAATGTTAGCGATTAACATAACCTGTACTGTACAATTCACAACCTAAGAGGAAAAAAAATCCATGATTAATATTAACTCCCAACCTCGATTAATAAACAATTTCTAACCCAGATTTTTACACTGAAGTGCAAACCCGTGGCCGTCAGTCTATACGACAAGTGCAAGTCAATAAAAAAAAAATTGACTCTCGTTATCTGTCGTAATCTAGTAATTAGTAGACAGACAATTAATAATCTCCTCAGCTAATGAAATTCCATGTCATCATTAGGTAAAATTTCATTAGGAGCAATTGGGGCAATCATTTGAAAACGTCAAATCCTGATTGACAGAATGGTAATGATTCCTTTGGAAACTTCTCCCAAGAAGCACGTATCAGTTTGTGAGTTATTACTATGTTGTACTTATCTCGTCTCCGGTGTGAACTCTGACCCCAAGGGTTGAGTATGAATACACTGACAAAGGATATGTAATGACTTGAAAAGATATATTCCTCTTGACAATGTTTGCATTTCGATTGAGAGCGCCGACAGGTAAGGATCACTACATGTTATTTCATATATCTTTTTTAAAATTTAAAACCTGATATTTTATTATAAAGTTTTTATAAATAATTCAATTTTATGATATTGGATGATTTTAAAAAATTCAGTTCAGTTCAGTTTATTCGCTCCAAACCATGTAAATGCTGCAGCATGTACCAAAAAAAAGATTAATGAATTAATAAAAATAAAAAAAAACATGAACATATAATACAATGGGTCAAATAGGAGATGTGATTTAAGTTTAGCTAAAGGGAGAACAAACCACACAATTAATTGTAGCAATAATATACACTTTTTTTTATTTCAACATCTTTGAGAACAAAGTTTTGAATTAAGATACAAAAATTTGAATTAATTTTTTTTATAATGTCATTCATATTCAAATAATTAGAAAGTCCCCCATTTCAAAAATTTTCATTCGAGCTAAAACTTAGCAAAAAGTATTGCAATATTCATAGAATACATATATTTTCATTTTTATAAAGGTTCTGAATATTAAACTTAAAACTAAAATAAAACACATGCATTTATATATACATGTACATCGACTCCGAAACTATAACATTCCAGAAGTTAATAAAGAAAAGTAGGTTGATAAATAATTTTCTAATCTCACATGGAATCACCCTTTTTTTAAAAACAAAAAGGATTTATGCTGATTACTGTTGAATGTTATTCATTAATATCACTGAATAATAACTATATTTCTTTTGCACATATATATATATATATATATATATATATATATATATATATATATATATATATATATATATATATATATATATATATATGAATCAATACCTCTGTTTTATATCAGCATTCATTGTGGGAGGAAAGGAGGATCAATTTATAAGCTCTGTGAAAAGAATCGTCTTAATAATCTCATTTTGGGAGACAAAATATCTCTAATATCTTTTTTGATTAGAATTTTAGCGACAATTTCATTTTATAAAAAATTACCATTTTTTAAAAGACGTAATATTTCATAAAAATTTTACCTTTTTCACAAAAGATACAGCGCTTGTCACGAAGTGAATACGCTATACTTAAGCTGACAGGTAGAATGAAAAATGAGATATTAAGAAGAGGGTGACTATTTGCACATATTGGCCATAAATCATAGCTTTAAACCGCAAGCCTTGTTGGTTTCCGCTTTGCTACACGACACTTAATCGCAGAGGGGAGACATAATATGTGAAACTTCATAAATCTTAAGAGTTAATCTACAAATTATTCCAGCCACACAGTAACAATTTAGAAAGCATGACCGAGGACGTTCTTGAAGTTTCATATGAATTTTAAATTTGCATGTATTTTTTTTTTAATATTCGTGAGGAAGAAAACGAATAACTATCACTACAAATTATAGGATTAGATGACATTTGATAGCAAAAATATTATTCATTTTGAGGTTAAAAATGAAAGACATGAACATCTACTTCATGTATGTTAAAGCACCACATCACCACTTAAACTGCCAAATTTATTTCAATTAACGAAGATAGAATAATAATTTTGTTAATAAACACGATAATGATTTGAGACCATTTCCATTGGTAATAAACTGCATTATTTATACAAACTGATGGTTGTTATTAACTGATATTTCTTATAAACCTTTGTTATTCAGTTCAGTTTTAATTGGGAATTAGTAAATATCAAGGCAGTTTAATGACTCTTTTATTGATTGATGTTTTGGTCAATAACCTTTGAATAACAAGTAATCGATGAAGTGACATCAAACGGTCTTACAGATATGTTCCGAATTGCGCATAGATATGTTCCGAATTACGCGCTGTTATACAGTTCCGAGCTCAAAACTTAAGTCGAGGTGGCTTAGGTGCTCGTCCATGTCCTCTAGAGACTTTGTGTGCGAGATTCATTGTCTAAATTATATTTTCACAAGGTCTTACTGCGGCAGGCTTTTTTTCAAATGTAAATTTTAATTAACTTGATATGCACCTGCAATTTGTTGAGACAAAACACTAAAACCACAAGTTCTGGTTATTGTTATGAAATGATAATTTTTGTCCATTTGGCAAATTGATATTCAGATATGTCAAACGTTTAATTAATAAGTTATTGAAATCTATCTTGTGCCCGAAGCACTTAATTAAAATGATGACCTTTGGAAATTTTTCATAAAACATAAAAAAGAAATGTTATTGAAAAATGTCCTGATGCCGACAGATTAGATTTTCGGAATAATTTACTGAAAAGTGTTGAAATGTTAAGGAATTTTGATAAATTTGCAAAAACTTTATTTCTTCAAAACCTTGTATAATATATCAACTGTCAAAAACATCAAGGAACATACGTTTTATAAGTTTTTTAATTTTAAAAACGGTTGACGCCGTGTCGTATTACATGTATATTTATGAGACATTCTAGAATAAAATATATAGATAAAAAATCGAATTATAAAAGGACTAAATCAAAACATGCTGCCAATTTTTCATTTTGTCTGTTTGTTGTTGAAATCAATTATTTAAACATCTGATCCCTATTCTAATTAAGCAGGATAGTTCTCTAAGAAATAACAAACAACTGTTACCGATCCAGCAATATACACAATGTATTTGAAAAATCATTTCTTTAAAGGTTAATTATAACACAATCATATCATAATCATAAGTCAACAAAACTAAGTAGAATACAGATATACAATGTAAAATGATGAATAAATAGTGAGATTTTTTTTATCATTCACCTTAATTAAATTATCAAAAACCACAGTCGATTAAGGAAATCATGTTGCGGCCACTGAATGCCATATACCATATTAGAACTTCTATCAGTCTTAATTATTTTATGGTAAAATGCGGTGTCAAAATTGATTTGTCGTTTCTATGCTTTTCAATTATTCAGGAGATAATGAAAATCGTGTACTATTTGATTACTGTATACTTTTATCAATATTAAAATGTCGTGAAATTTGCAAACATTCATATTGAAAGATAAAAACTTAAAAACTTACATCGGACGTAAAACTTAAAACGGTAAATTAAAAAAATACCTCAAACAGTGCATTCAAATGCGGATAGCTGCTGTTATATCATTTTGCTATTCATTTATAATGCACTTTCTTCTCTTTGCAGAAATGTACTCATTGCTCGTATTTGGATTGACTTTGGCGTCACTGTTGGGGTGGAGTAGCCAACATGGATTGCTTCTGTCCCCTCCCCAAAGGGGGTCCCTCTGGCGATACGGATACGACACTCCCCCTAACTACGACGACAATGGACTTTTCTGTGGCGGAATAGAGGTATATACATTCATAATTTCACCCGCTTCGCAACATTTATATAAATGTAATGCCATTCCAAGCAGGCCCGTAGGAAGCAATTTCAGTTTGGGGGGGGGGGCACAGCCAAACATTTTTCAGTTGACAGTTGAGGGGGCACTACCAAAATTTTCTGACAAGCAAAAAAAAAAAAAAAAAAAAAAAGGTCGTCAACTACCAAATAATCCTTGACAAGCAAAAAAAAAAAAAAGAAAAAAAAAAGGTCATCAGGCGGTTTTATTGAGGGGGCGCATGCTTATAGTATCTATGTTTACTATAGTAATCTATATATCGGCAAAATTATTGGGGGGGGGGGGCACGGCCCCCCCCATGCCCCCCCCCCCGGTTCCTACGGCCATGCCAAGTACTACATGAAAAATTCTTATACCAACACTTTCTATTTATTGCAGGAATACATTAAAACTGGTGGAAAATGTGGTGTTTGCGGAGATGCCTACAAAGGTCCCCGTGAACACGAAGCTGGTGGGAAATACGCTAAAGGAATCATTGTCGAGCAACTTCCCGCCGGATCTACAGAAATGAAAACGACTATTCAGATCACAAGTTACCACATGGGATATTTCGAGTTCAGGATCTGTCCACACAATGATATCCGCAGACCAGTGTCCCAGGAGTGTCTGGACGAACATCTCATGATCATTAAAGAAGGCACACCTGAGAGTGAGTACACTCGTTACTACCCAGACAATCCTATCGAGACCGGAAAAGACAAGTACCACCTGACCTTACTTCTACCAAGGGGGATCCGGTGTGAGCAATGCGTACTACAATGGACTTACAACACAGGTAACTATGAGTATAGTTATTCATACACAAATTATAGTCTTTCTTTTCCAATTTAAGAACCATTTTGAATTTGTATTCTGAACACTTGTATTGTCTTTCTTTAAGGAAACAGTTGGGGTACAGACAAAAACGGAACAAGTTGTTTGGGCTGCGGACTTCAAGAAGTATTTAAAAACTGTGCTGACATAAGTATTGGAGGAACACAGACCGTTGAAGCCGCGCAGATGGCACTTATTAAAACAAAGACAAAAACAACCAAAAAGACACCTAAACCTGAAATTAAATCAGGCTTATTCCACCATATCAAGAAGGCCATTGAAAATAGTATAGCGGCTAAAATAATTCAAAACCATGGCCAGAAAACCACAAAGAGAATCGTGCCTTCTCCCACTCCAGTATTTTCGACTAAAACCCCCTCCACAACGACTTTTTCTGCAAAATCTATATTGGAAAACAGGAACTTATTCATGCCTGGCAATGCCCCGTCCTTCCTCTCTCAAATTCAGAGCAAGCTAGGAAGGCAGTTCAGTTGGTTGAAGCAGGTTCCTTTTCATCATGGCCGTCTTCTTTCCCAAAAAACATCCAATCCGAGATTCACACTCGCCAGCAAAATCAAGTTCCTACCTGAAACTACAGCACAGGAACAACGCACAACTGCTCTGGCATTCAACCCTTCGCCCGAGATTGGCCTGCGATCGTTTTACACTACACAGAAAGGACCTGTACCAAGAATCTACGAGGTCAAATATAATCTTCTTCCCAAGTCATCTTTCAACTTATATACCAATCCTTCAATGTCTCTGTTTGAATCCACCGGTAATGTAGAAAAGGTGTCCTTGTCCGAAGTGGCACCCACAGTAGCATACAACGCTCCACAAATGACACAAAAAGTAGTAACGTCTAGACCTTCATTACAAACAACCGAATCCTCAAATCCTACCACGACCAATCCTTTGGACGTTTCCCAATGGGGTCGAGAGACCGTGACCAAATTACCTAAAAAGTACCAAAAGTACTATAAGAAGTACAAGGAAGCCAAATCAATGTTAGAACTATTGAAAAGAAAACCTGAAGAAGTTATGAAAATGTCCAAATATAGAAAATTTCAGAAAAGACGAAATGGACACAAAAGGCTGCACAGAACTCTGAACAGAGATGTAGAGAAATACACAACTCGACTGAAGAGAGTTGGAAAACGGTTATTTACAACGTCATAGTGACGATGTTTTGCTACTGAAACTTTCATTTCACAGAAATCCGTTCATATTTATTAAATATTTGTTATTGTGTTTGTTGTATACTTAGAAAACCAGACTGAAATACAGTGCTAATAAGATGTACTCATCTGCAAAAAGTTACCTCAGGAATGTGCGAGGATATTATAGCTAGACACTACAGACTTGCTCACACTTGTTGTTGCAAGTTCTGCAGACACACTGTAATGAATGACTTCTACGTATTATATGTGCCAAAGCAACGAAATATTGTTGTGCATGTACTTACCTATCAGTATTCATTAAAAATTTGCCCAGTATTGCCTTCTTTAATCTTTCCGGTAAACAGAGCTTCACGAGAAATTTTTGACCGAGCTTCTAACTCATACCAATGTTTAACATTATATCAATTGTAACTGTCAATTTTGGTATGAAAAACTCCTTTGTCTCGGTCATTAATTTGTTTAATCATGACAGTTGTGTATAATATTTAAACAACAGCAATGTATTGTGATACTGTTTATTCTGTAAAAAGAATACAAATAATGCAAAATACAAAATAAAACAATACCAAATGGTTTTCCTATCATATTTATGATCCAGCAGGAATGAGGGGGAAAAAACAATGAATACTGCCATCCTTATATACACAATGGAAAGAGAACAAGTTACCCTTTTCTCAATGTCAAATACATCATATACATCTACGTATGCATCAAATGGAATTATGCGCTATAGCACAGGTAATTCTTATACTTCCATTACATCCATGAGATCAACAAATATTGCATAGGACAATCTCACTATTTCGATGTGGATATCTTTCCTTCCCAAAGCAGACAACAGGTTACAAATTCGAAGTTTTGCTTGCAAAGCATTTTCGTGCGCTTGGTTTAAATGTCCCAGAGCTTCGTCTAGTAGATTGGTTGAACACGTAAGTCTAAACCACTGAAAGTGCTTCAATTTAGCGAGAGCTTTGCATATTTGCAGTATGCTTTCCTCTGTAAGCACATTTCCAGCAATGTCTAAGTACTGAAGTTTCTCCAAATTCTGAGGGAGTTTTTCACAGAAATTTGGAATTGAGGCATCTTGAAAGTGATTCTGGGCCAAGTTGAGCAGCTTTACATTCTTGAAACAAAACACAACCTTAAACAAGTTTATGGATGAAATTCTGTCATTATCGTAAATCGAAAATTGACAAATTTTGCTCAGGTTCAATTCCTGCAATGAAAGTGCATGTTTTGAATTGCCCAAACACTCTAAGTCATGATCATTCAAATCACAGTTCCGAAGACTTAGAAATTCTAGGGGAAGCCTTAATGAGTCCAAAATTTCTCCCAAACATCCCAGCAGATAATTGAAACTCAGATCTAAGCGGACTAGATTCTCAAAACTGGACAAAGTCCTGATCATAATGGCCCTTCCAATAGTCCTACTCCTTGTTTTGCCCTCTTGTAAGTATATATTACAGTCCTGGAGGTCAAGTGAACGCAGTTTTGTGAATTTCTTCAGATTTGGTGAGACCATGAAGAATATACCTTCTTCCAACTGTCTGAGTGAAAGTCCTTCAAGTGTCTGGAAAATAAATAAGAAAATAAGGAATTGGTTAAAGTATTTAAAAAGGCCTAACTTAACAACTTTGTATCAAACATGTTCTAATTCTTTTAAATAATAAAAATCTTAATTATGAAATTTGGAGTTTCATATCATATACCTATAAGAATGAACTACTCATCTAAATGATGTGAAAATTATCACATTAATGAGGAAACTGATTTTACTTCTTAAATTATCAATAAAATTACTCTGTTTGTGCTTGCAGGGTTAGATCACATTTAAAATGACATAAAACAGACTGAACTTAAAGTTTGAATGATATTCATAGTTTTTATCAACCTCCAATCTACTTAAAAGTTCACTTCATAGGTAGTCTATTTTAAATTTATCTAAACATGTAACTGCTTTATGATAAATGAATGATTTTGAGTGCACATTTTCAGCAAAATATAAACTTAAACTTCTAAAATTTCTAATTTCTGTTTTTATTTTCTCAATCATTTGCAAGATTATTATGAAGTGCAGATTGGTTTCATAAAGATAAATTGCAATCATTTTTTTACAACACAAATACATTAGGTTAAAATTGAAATCTTTTAACTCCTCTCTGATAAATACTGTGTATGAATTCAAATTCTGCAAGAGATGATTACACTTACATTAGTGTCATGGCCCTTCAGAACAATAAATGGAGCAAGTGAGTCCATCACCTCATCTCCTACTGTTAGGTCGGACCTGAAATAAGATGGAAAAGTCATGTACTATAAAAAATTATTGTCAGAATTGATGAAGTATTGAGACAATCTAATTTGAAAATAACACAACCCATATTTTATTTACTTATTCTTTTTTAAATTGGTTCTTTTTTTTGTGATGCAAGTATATTTCATATTCATTATTTGCCTTTACAAAAATAAATGAATACCCGCTGATAAACAAAGACAACTAACTCTGAAAATAAAGGAACACATAATATGTACAAATATAAATAAAGAGAGATGACTCTGACACTGACTTGATGAAGATGTTGGAGACTGTGATGACGACAGGAGTTACAGATCTTAGACAGTTACAGATTAAGTAGTCCATAAAGAATGTGTTGCTTGCAGTGAACTGTATGTTGTCTATTTTCACAATCATCTTCTCTCCTGCAAAGTTAGAGGTGGAAGTATTAGAAACTCTGCCACAAAAGCTGAGTAATTATAACTGACCATTTTTCACACAATCATTTACAAATATATTTAAAAGCACTTTGTTTAAATCAAAAAAAAATTGGATGAAAAGTAAGTTTGTCTTAATGAAGAATACTAACTTACATTCTCAAATTCATTTGAGGGACAATTCAGGAATAAAAAATATGATTCTATTCTAACACCACACAAAAGAAATTATAAACCTCAATGATAAAAAAAAAATAAGTTTTTCATATAAAGATTTTTACCTATGTCCCCTGGCTGATATATCATGCATTAACAAAATACTTGCATACTTAATGAGAAAGCTGCTAAGCACAGATACCTACCTCTTGGGATATGTATCAGTAAATGTGTATCTTGCACCATTTCATGAGATAAGATGTCATCTAACATTCGAGGGAGTACCTCTTCCATGTACCGGCTGAATTCAACATCTGTCATGAAATAAAATGGCAAATTAGGGTTTCATTATCATCATGTCTCTATAAAGAGAGTTCAAAGAAATCAATGTTTCAAATATCTGAGGTGTATGGGTGAATGTTTCATTGGTTATGAACACAAGGACCTACCTGGAAGGAGGGGTGCAAAATAGTTGGTTCGAAACACTTTGCAAGGTTTTCAAGAAAAAGAGAAGTTTTAGTCACCTTAATTTTTTCATTCACTTTCATGAAATCATCTTAATTAAATTTATTATTGGGAAAAGGTCATATTTAAATTATTCCACTGAAGGCCATTTTCACAGTAGCAGTTCTCAAAATCTCAGGATGATGCATCTTTGAGTTTGTAAAAATAAAGGTGTGACCCAATACATTTTGACTAGTGATATTTGTACTAGTTATTTATTTATTTATCTTTATTTTACTATTATTATTTGGAGGGAGGGGGGATGTTAATGTCACTGTGTTAAAAATTTATCATTTTTCTGTTAAATAAAAACCAAAGTGAAAATGGTTATCAGATTCAGATCACTCAATGAATATAGGTTTTGGGTTTCATAACCAGTTTGAGTTAGTAGCCGGTTTTCTCAAACTCGAGATTAATTTTCAAGAGACAAAATACTTGCCAAATGTCTCTTGAAAATTAAAAAAAAAAATTAAGGAACAAGAGTTTGAAAAAAACATATACTGATGTTCTGATTATGGGACCTATATCAAAATACAAACATGGACTTGTGCATTTTAGGTTCATTTGAAACACATGAAGTAAAGCAGCCAATCAGAATTGTCCTAGTGTAAAGCAGCCAATCAGAATTGTCCTAGTGTAAAGCAGCCATCAGAATCATCCTTGGTGTTTCAAACCATTAATATCACAAAAAAGAACAACTACATGGGTCTGGTGAAACACAGTTGATAATGGGAGAGGGTATTTTACAAAAGGTACTCATCTAGACTAAATATAACACATGGCTAACATACCTGCTGCCTTGGCGATTATCTTTGCAAGCTTTTTTGGTTTCAGCTGATGTTTCTTCAGTGATAATATTGGCCACATCTGCACTATTAACTTGCTGAATGTGGCATCTAAAAACATAATTTATACATATTATGATATATTATTTCAAAACACTTATTTTACATGGAGATCTTCATGCTTACATTGTAAACATGATACACACATATGCAGCTGAATGAACTGAGCCAAGAAACTGATACATATAAACAGCCATGAACTGTCCATGTATCATGATCAGGATGGGAATGATAAAATCACCAAAAACTGAGCTAGACCCTGCAGTCTATTCTGTTATTCAAGTATACTGAAATGCACCACATCAACACTTACACAGAATACTTTAGTTGAAGAAAATAACAGCTTGATTTTAAAAAACACGGTAAAATTTCATGAATTTCATGGTAAAAAGTGCAATATTCAATAGGTAACTGGTTTTCTAAGATATATGAGAAGTAGTTATTTATCATATAAAAGTCATGGGCATTAAATAGATTTTTTTAAAGATATTAAACTGGTACATCAAGATGCACTTAAAAATGAAAGAGTAACTTATTATGCTTACAGTGACTTATATGTACTAGATGGTAAAAACAAATATGCCAAACAAGGAATTATATGTCTACAATTGGATAAAATACTCTCTGTATGCATATTTGACATCATAATTTTAATTATCAAATTAAATTTGCAAACTTTTATTAATTTTAAGCTCTTACATGTAAAAATTCTATGAAATTCTAACTTACTTAGCTTGAAACCTCTTAAGTCTAAGACTCTTATTTTGCAGGCCTTGGTTCTCTCTATAATTCCTTTGAATACCATGAGATCAAGACCCATTTCCTCTGTAAAGATGTCTTTGTTATCTGGATGCACAACATCCCCAAAACTATATGTACAGAAAAAAAGTAAAAGATTATTTTCATGTGCATTAGCTGAAGTGATGAATGCAACCATACATAATTGCTATTAAAACTAATAAAAGACAAGAATTCTACCTCAAGTTAGTATTTTCATTTGTACAGTAACTGTTATGAACATTAGACATGTTAAATGCAATAATTAATTCATCTTAAAAGATGTTTGACATGGAAATTTTGTGAAAATGTTTTTGGTGATTTAAAAAAAAATTTAAAAAGAATAATGAAAACCAGTTTACATGTTTTACACAAAATTACCATCTGAAAGAGACAGAATATGTAGAATTACCATAAAACTGGCAGTGGCCAGTTGGAAATGAGTGTAATTATAGCATTTGGAGCTACAACATCAATGGCTATTTCCAGCAACAGTGGGACTAAGTGGTTTGGAATACATGATAATGCCTCTTTGATGAGATCCACATGGCAAATGTTGATCTTGCGACAACACAATTTCAAAAGAGATGGCACTCCAGTCTTTTTCTTGGTTTGTCGTAAATGTTTACAGAGATCCAGACTGGCATAGTTAACCCTGTCCAAAGCTTTATACATCTTCACTCTGCAATTGAAAAGAAATGCACTGTCACTCTGTCTCGTTTTTTTTATTAAACCACAAACAGGATTTATCATGACACTGATTTTTATTTATAATCTCAATTTTTACCCAACAACTATGAAATTTCGGTGTGAAAATCATTATCACCAATTGATGTTGAGCCAAAGTATAGTAATGGACAAACCAATAAACTCTGGATCAAAGAAATCAGCCTTTTACAGTAATGGTTCGATCTACATTCTGTGGTTAAAAACATACCTAAGAATGAATTTCTACTATTTATGATCATAATCTGTATATAGAGTAGTACAATTTTTCTCCATGACAGCAGGATATCCTTTCTTACTCCAACAGTCTGCTTTGTTAAGCTTTATTTTTAATGGCACTTTTCAACATTTCCTGTGCCCCCTGTTGTTCTTATCTTTTGTTTGCTTGATGGACCGATAATCAAGATTTCAGCATTGATGTAAATAAGATAAACACTAATATTTACATGCTTCCATTTTTTATACGAAAACATACAAAGTGTTATTCAAATATATTGAATATCATGTTTGTTGCTTGAGTTTCAAAACTTGTAAACATGGCTCTGCTCTGTTGGCTGGTTATGTACATGTACAAACAAACACACGCTACTTTTACATTCGAATTGTGAGTAGTATTGACTATGTCAGTTATTCAAAAAGATCTAGTAGCTTATTAATCAATATCAATTTTAATGAAAACAATTAATAAGTTTTGAAATATCTGTGAAAACAGTGAGTAAGTTATAATACTACTAATGGACAGTGCCAATACGTCTGTACGTATTGCGTGTAGCACAAAAACAAAAGCCCTTTTTAAATACAATCAAACATGGTGCGTGACAAAGCAGAAACAATGGACTTACTCTAATTCAGGCGTACCATTTTCAAGAAAATGTCACAGTTGATTTTTTTTTCTTCTAAAAAATATCAACCATTACATACTGTTACTCTTTCGTCAATGGAGGAATATTTCGTACTTCAAAAGTAACAGGGAGAACCTTACACGAGAACATTACATATTTCCCGTATTACAATGGCCACTGGCTGATACATTTAACTTTTGTTTTAAGTCTGAAAAAAAAAAGATTTATGTTAATTCATATCTTGTATCACTTAATTATATATGGTCTGATAAATAAGGTACGTATATACTAGTATATAGTAATATATATCCCCTGGATAGATCATCATCCACTATATAAAGAGATTAAAATTTTTTCCTTTAGGTCAATATCGCTACATGTAATATGGGTTCCGTAATATGCCACGGTATCATAATCGAAAATAGCAACAACAGCAAAAAAATAAACAAATAAATAAATAAAATAAAAAATAAAAGGAACTCTTGCTAAAAAGCATATTAAAGGAAATAAAAAGAACTCTTGCTAATTAGAACATATTAAAGGTTTTATTCAGACGTAAACTCCATAATTTTTCTTGGAGCGTTTTTAGAAAGTTATATTACATTCACAATACATGTATTCCTATAGACTCCTTCGTCAGAAATCACTAGTACAAAGTTATAAAGAGCAAATACACAGGTCTCTAGGAACCGATGGAGGGGGGAGGGCACGGGGGAGGGGGCTGTTCCACTGGGCCATAACTGTTCCATTATATATACTTTACTTTTCTATACAAATAAAACAAAGTTGCTGATTAGCTGTGTACATTAAAAAAAAATTATCAGTTTATAAATTAGAAAACAAAGCTAATTAATTTACGACTGTGTCCCCTCAATAAGGTCAGTATTATGTTTGCTTGTCAAGAATTTGTTAGGTTGCCCTAGCTCCCCCTTCCCCCAACTGAAATAATACTTCCTAGGGACCTGCATGCAAAAACAAAGATATACAATGACATGTACAAATTCCATCGATAAACAATCTTCACCAAAGCTGTTGGAAACACCGCAGTAAGAAATGCCAATGCTTCTTTTCTGTAAACTAAAAAACAAGCTGCCTATAAGGCCTATAGATCTAGACAGAACAGCTCACGAGGACTACAATTTGCTGCACATCTCTGTCGCAGAAATAGTACTTAAAATTATACCCCCAAATAAAAAGGTGTGGAAGCTTCCGATACATACAATACTTCTTACTACATATGTATATATTCAACCAAATGGTCAAACATTTTTATAACAGTGTCATGAATGTTGTTATAAATGAAACATTCAATAACATGTAGGTATCTTTTCGAGAATTTTCAGGGAAAATAACTCCTATTCATAAAAGTACTGAAATTTCTGATCAAAATAATTACAGAGGCACTGCATTCATAAATCCAATAGGAAAGTCATTTAATGAAATATTGTGCACTGATAAAATTGTCCAAAATATCACTTAATCAGTGATTGTTGGAAAAGTTTTACTTGATGAGCTCGAACATTAGATCATATGTATATATTAACAAACATTGTAAAACCATAAATGGTAGAATCTTTGCCTGCTTGGTTGATTTTCAAAATGCGTTTGATACAGCTTTATATATGTACACACTTAAATAAAAACGGATCTCTTCAGAATTGGTAAAAGAACAAATATCGAGATATCAAAAGTATGTACATAAAACAAGCAAGTCCTGTGTCTGTCTAGAAAATAAAATCGACGATATTCCCAATTATCTAAACTCAGCTGCCGACCCTGTTTTAAAACCCAAATCCGATTAGGTGTTTTATTTATTCTGATGACATAATTTTACCCTTTTCACCGGCAGATGGCTTAATACATTGATTTACATAAATTCGATCTTCAGTGATTGGTGTCTCAACTCATCTAAAACTATGTATAATGTTTTATTTTTTTAATTTAAGCAGGTAGGCCGCTCTATCTTAAAAGCACAAAAATGTATATGCATTTTACATGTACTTTTCTGGTGTTGAACTTGAATGACTGCGTTTCTAATTACATGTACGAATATACCTTGTATTACTTGTGAATCATTTCGTCCACAAGTTCTCGAGTTCTCCTTTGCTCAAAACCAGTTCACTGAATTCAGACTTCTAAAAAGTCACTATTCAAATTTTATCTATACCATGAAATATGGAGATAACGAACAGTATTCAAGTTCAAAGTCCATTTAGACAATTACAAATCGGGAGCAGAGCAAACACGGACCTCCGAAAACATCAGAGGTGGGATCGATCAGGTGCTATGAAGGACTGATTATCCCCTGCCGACCGGCCACACCCGCCGTGTGCTCCTTGTCATGATCGGGAAAACGGGAAAAAATCTGTAGACAATTCAGTGTGTAAATAATGGCCTAACAATAAGTATGAAAAACGTCAGTCAGCATTTGACTTAATGATAGGTTGTATTTGCTGACAAGGTCATTGTATCGACCATAAAACATGCGAAATGATGACTTCAAACGATATCCTTGATATCCTTGTTTCATCAACTTGTTTGTCAATAGCTTGCCTTGTTTTAGAAATTCTTCATACGTAGAACATGCTCTTGCGTATCGAATCAACTGGGAGACAAAAACCCCATATGTAGGTGATTAGGGTATATTGCTACATATATAAGGGAAAATTGAAGTCATCACGTTTATCATGAAGCTTTGTTGTTAGATTACCATTAATGCTTTTTTCTAGTAAAATATCCAAATATAAAACAAATGTGTCAGACTCTGTGGTATCAAGCTCACTGGAATATATCGAGTTCACATATGAATGGAAGTAACATAGTCTATTGTTTATTGATAATACGTACGTCGTCAATATATATCTAAATGCCGAGTTGAAGATCACAGCAAGTGTTTTCTTCTTCTCATGTAGAGGTTCCTGAATAAATCCTTCTTCATATGAATACAAAAATATGTCTGCTAACAAGGGGGCACAGTTGGTACCCATAGAAATTCCAGAATGTTGAAAGACCTGATCTTCAGAAACTGCATTGATATTGTCAATCACAAACTCACGCATCTTTTTATATCAACTTCAGAGTACTTAATTGTGTGTACAATCAAAATGCTTTTGAACAAAATAATTTTGTAAATGACCAATAACAAGGTAATTATATTTACGAGTTCCATTTTTATTAAAAAAGCAGCTGTCTATTATGTCAAAAAGCCTGGACCTTAATTTATCATGGGGAATGGTTGTATAAAGTGTTGACCTACGTTTTGATTTTATCATATTTTATTGTATTCATCTGAAATATTTGCTTTAATTTTTTTTCTTTTCCTTTTTCAAAACAATTACGTTCTTGGCTGTACCATTGCAAAATATACCCCAACCTACTATGTGACAAACTGATGAATTCTGATACTCAATGCTCTGCAACAAATTTTGCAATACTCTTCGAATTAGGTATTTAGCAGTGGTAAATCTGGAAGTTTGATCTACATTTTAAGGGAAAAAAATACTTATATACATGTAATAGTTTGATGATGAATTGCAGCTCTAATGTTCTTGAAAAGATATCCAAATTACAGTAGAACTTGTTTTGGTCCCATTGTGAAGAGCACTGTATACAATGCATGTCATAATATCATATTGTGAATCCGAATGTATACAAATATGAACATTTGCTTGAGGATTCAGAACAGAAACAGTTGATAAAGCTAAATTTATAAAAATGAATGTTCTCCTGTTGAACTACATGTAACACGCAATCCGCATTGTCATTTGTATTTGTTATTTATTGATCTCTACAACTGAGAATTATGTATTAATTGTCATTTACACTGTAATATGAGGAAGCTTAAATCATGAAAAATACTTGCATTCATCCTTTCAGGAAAGAAAACAATTTAATTAAAGACGGTTTTTGCTGAACACGCATCTAGGTTCTATCAATTACATGTACTTACTGAACACTTACTTTATTCACTATTTCCTAATCATCATTGTTTGCATATATGGCCCGAGTACTCAGTATTTTGCTTTAAGGAAGCTCTAAACACTAACAAAAAGTGCTTTTTGGACTTGGAGAAAAATATGTTATATAAGGGTATGCATATTGAAACTATTTAGTTCATTTTCAACATAGAGTATCTGCCTTATTTCAAAGACAATAGGCAATTTATGAACAGAAATCATGGTTGTTTATATACATTGGGAACATTAATGGAAACAATGAATTCAATTTCTTATACTTGATCTAATATAATGCTGAGAATATTTCAGTCTATTACAAATTGTGCAATAAATTGTAAATAACTATATTTTCTATCTTACTTCTAAGGGCAGATCACTCTAACTGCATAAAACTACCCTACAAGTAGAACTCTTTACTGTGCAGTGTTTAGAGCTTCCTTAAATTTCTTTAGAAATGATCCAATAGTTTTAGAGAAGATAAGAATTTGAAGGAAAAAATACATTAGACAGAAGCAGACAAACGTACATGTACTAGTTTGATCAGGTAGTACAATTCTCTTTTCTGCTTGAACTTTCAGTAAGGCGTGACATTCTCGGCGATACATAACTAGCGTCTCTCAAATGGTGACCTACATTCTCATTGGTTAAGAAATGAATACCAGTAGCAACTTTAGATTGTTGTTAACAAACGATGAGATGACATAAACCACACCTCTTTATTGTAGGAAACGATGTAATTGGTTCCTTGCGTCACTCGTTGACGTCTGACCAATTTTTATCCCATGTGTATTTCACCCGTGAATGAAAGCTGTGTAAATTTCAGTATTGATGAGCTAATCTGGCAACCAATGAGCATCTAGGTCACTATTCAAGAGACGCTAATTATGTATAGCTGAGAATGTCACGCCTTACTGAAAGTTCAAGCCGAAAAGAGAAATGTACTAGACTTACTAAATTACTAAAGCTTAATCTCAGCTCAGATGAAATACGAAAGGAAATATACAATCGTATATTTGAAGATATGTTATGCTCAACAAATTGGATGAGCAAAAAAAAAAAAAAAATAATGATCGTTTCGCATATTTTGACAGCAGTTTTCAAGTTAAAAACAACAACAATATT